CTTTCTTAAAGATGGCCACTATACTAGCCCTTATTCCATCATCCAGGACCTCACCCAACTTCCATGATTTCTCAAAGATGATAGCTAATGGCTTGAAAAATTATTTCAACCAATTCCTTCACTACCCTGCGTGCATCCCATCCAGCCCTGCCAACTTGAAAGTATATAGTTTCTCTAAATAATCCCTAACCCAGATGTGGGTAAAATACGGCCTGCAGGCCAGATCTAGCCCACCAGTGGGTTCCTTGGTCCCACTAGCCCAGATGTGGGGGGCAGCCTGGGCACTGGTGCGTGCAGCTGATGCCACCACACCACCCCCAGGTGTGCAGCAGGGCAGGGGTGGCACAGGAGCCAGACTTGGCTTCCTGGAAGTCCCTGTGAGAGTGCCTCACCCTACCTGGCTACCGGTGTCTCTGCTGCCACTGCTGGACCCAGCCTTGCTGCCCAGGCACCCCAGCCCATCCTCTTCTGGTCTCACGTTCTCATCACCCCACGATCCTGGCCCCATCCAACCTTCCCACTCCCAGACGTTGCTTCCCAGCCACCTGTGGCTCCATCCCATCCAACTGGCTGAGCACACCCTTCCCATGGGGGTCCTGGGCCAGTTTCCATGGAAACTCTGCCTGCCTGCCCACCTGCTCCATCCAGCACCCTTGGCTGGGAGTGTGGAGTAGACAGGTTTGGTGCCAGGTAGGATCAATTGCCACTACCTCTTGCCACACTAGGCTGGGTTAGCACCCCTCACCCAGCCTGTAACAGCTCACCAAGACATCTTAAGTGCCATCCAGCCCAAATAATTGCTCACCCCTGCCCTAATCTGTGCTGCCATTACTCTACATTGTTTCTCTTCTTCCCTATCTTTGCTGCTAACTATACTCATCTGACAGTTGCCCCTATCTGTGAAAACTGAAGTAAAGAAAGTATTAAATACTTCAGCCTTCTCTGCATCTTCTGTAACTAGATTACCTACGGTTTCACTGGTCTGCCTCTTACTTTTGACATACTTTTAGAATCCCTTTTTACTGTCTTTTATATCGCTTCCCAGTTGCATCCCAAATCATATCTTAGCCTTCCCAAATCATATCTTGGCCTTCTCCATGCATGCCCATGTAACAGTTTTATACTGTTCCCTATGACTATGTCCAGGTTTCCACTTTTCATAACTTCCTTTTTGAAGGAATTTCTGTCTAGCTAGGCTGGTCTCCTGTTTCACACCCCATTCTTCTGATACATTGATATAGCTTGGTCCTTCACCTTTAAACCTTTACATCCTTGAAGTACAGGCAGCTCTCCTGGATTCCTTTACCTCTCTAACTTGCTTTTTGTGGGTACTGCCCACCAGGTCCCTGACTCTGCTTTTTCTGAAGTACACTTTTTTTTTCTGATGCTTTTCTTCCTTCCCTTAGGATCCTGAATTCTGTCATTTTGTGGTGGTTGTCACCCAAGTTGTCTTTCCTCTTCATATTTGAAACAATTTCTCCCTGTTTTGGGCAGCAAATCAAAAAGCCCCCCCCCCCCCCCCCC